TTGTTGGCCATAGCCTGTGCTGGGCCGCGCAGATATCTTCTTCGAAGCTAGCCCGCAGGTGCATAAACAGAGGCTATCTGGGGCTAGCGTACCTCACTCCGGCGAGTCTCCACGGCCTATTGGCGAGATTAAGGCAAGCCCGGTTGACAACTCGCTCCACGACGGCCGTAGCGAGTCCTGTCGTGTCACTGACGGCGGCTTCCGCCTTGCGCAACGACTTTCCCACCAGGCACGAAGCGCTTGCTTCTCTCCTAGGCGGCGGGCGGAGTCTAAAGGGTGGGATGAGGGTATTACGAGCACAGGATGTTGCCGGAGAATGTGTTTTATGTGGCTGGGATTGGGTGACGGGCGGGGGTTTAGAAACCAGATATGGGAATTTTCACGGCCTGTCTTTCCAAAGTCGAGAAGGTTCGGAGCTGCCTGCGGCGCGATGTTGTTGGATACATGCGGTTACGACAATATAAAGAGTGCGTCACTAATGGGAAGATCTCTGACAGCAGCTTCGAGGATAACTCACACAATGTATGGGTGGTGTGTTTTGCTCAAGATTTTGCTTTGACGTAGTTGAGCAACTTGCTTCGTTCAACCGACGACAAGGCGCGCAATGTTACGTTTCTTGTTCTGGGGTCACTTTTCGCCGTCTCCTCTCACGTTTCTTCCGTCGCCCACGTTGTCGAAGACGCCCCGACCCGCCAAGGACGCCGCCCAACATGCGACGCTTGCGCAACCCCGTCCCCCATAGCAGACACGCGCGTGTCGAATCCTCGCACGCTCTTCACAGCTTGCTCGCTAGTCGTTGGCATTCGCGTGTCGTCGACAACGATGGTCGGTGTCGCCATTTTTCGATACTTCTCTACCGCAAGGCGCCGGACCAAAGCTTGCGCCTTCCTTACCCCTTGGTCTGCAACACTGCAACGAGACGACTCGAGTGGTAAGACCGGTCATTAAATCTTCAGCTGAAGGCGCGGGGCATTCGCGTTTGAAGTGGAAGCGCATTATGGTCGATTTTGGCAAGTATTCTCTTTTTTGATAACCACGCGGGATAGGCTTTAACTACATCAGGCTCGAGTCGGGGAATTGAAGTGTTGTTTTCAAACACAGCACAACCAATACCTCGACGTGCCCGGGTTAGCTAATGTTTAGTCTAGACGTCGGCAAAGTGCATATGATCGTGACTGGCCTGAATGCACGCGAGCTAGCCCCGATCGCCACCCACCAGCGAACTTGTTTCAGCTACAACATGCGTACATTGTGTGCATGTGTACACTTTTGTTACGGTTGCCTGAGAGAAAATACTCGCCAACCGGTCTTGGCTCAAAGAGCCGGCTCCAAGTGCTACCGACATACTTACAGCGTATCAGCCTTTCCGAACACTTGCCCTAGCTGCCGGACAACATCTTCACCCAGCGCCGCCCTCCGTCTCCTCCTTTTGATGTACTCCTCTGAACCAAAGGGCGTGGGTCTCCCATCACACAGGGGTGCACGGAACCGATCGCAGGCACCTTTCGAGTCGTCCGCCTTGCGGTCGATCCCTGCATCCAATAGGATGCCGGACGGGGGGTGGTCGTGGTGATGTTTCCCATGCTTGTGCTGCTGCTGCTGCTGCTGCTGAGAGGGGAGGTTCTCTTGTTGCTGGCCGAGTACAACCGATGCAGCATGGTCCATGCTTTCGTGTGTCACATTCTTCCCTTCTCCCTGGACATGATCAACGCCGAAGCCCAACTTCTTGCAAACGTTGCGTGGGTCTCTAGAGAGACTAGAAGCACTCTTGATCGCCCTGAGGCCTGCAGTATTAGTGCAAGCCTCGTCACGGTTGTGCGGAAACAGGCGGGTAGGAGCTCGCGGCGATTTGTCAATGGGCACGGTATCGCCGTTAGCAGGAGTTGCCGATCGACTTTTCGTGTACCTGCGAGAAAGTGGGAAAGTTAGCGGTTCCAAAGGGGCCGAGACGGAGGGGGGAAGGCTGAGAAGGGTTTACAGACCACATGTTTTGTAGCGATACGTTTCCCACGCCGAATGTGTTATAATATAACAGCGGCACTTTATAGCTTTTCGAATAGCTGTGATATCTACGCAACACTGATCTTTACACCGGAGGGGTTGCTCACTTCTGTCTTCACCAAGTGTCGACAAGTCACTGATATTTTGCTGAAAAAGGGTGTGGCACACCACACCAGACCAGATCAATAGCTTGATCATTGGCGAAAAAATGGGTCGTCGCAGATGCATACCGTTGTCCAGAAAGCAGCATGCAGTAGGCTATAGGTATGTGTAGGGTGTGTTTTATTTTAGGGATTGGGTGTTGCATGTACATGTAATTTACATATCGCATACCATAAAAAGTAGTTTTTTTGGTGTTTGGGAACGCAAAAATATTCAACGGCGTCGGGTGTTTTTGGTGCCCGGACAAACAAGTATTGCGGAGAGATGGGCCTCTTCAACTTGTTGTGGCACTTCTGCACGGTGCAGCTTCACGCCCTTCCAGAGATAGACTACAGTAAATGCTCTTGGTTCTTGTCTTCGATGTTTGACATGTTACGAAGTACCACTCACCACGCTACAATAGGTGTGTCCATGTATAGATATCGAGATATCTGTGCTACAAGACGGAAGCCCGGGGGGGGGAGGAGACACCCCTTGACCGAGTACGGAGGGCAGTATGGGGGATGCTGCATGACAATCATGCCTGCGTCGTATCGAGGTCTTCAGAAAGGTTGGCGAGAATGATGACCATAATGGTTGAGGTGTTCGGGGAGTTCGGGCTAACGGTGTCGAAGAAGAAGACGAAGACGCTCCTGATGCGCACGGAGGACAAGCCGACTACAACATCACAGCCCCCCCCGCCTCCACCGCTGACCATCGAAGCCGCGGGACAGAAATACGCCCAGACGACCCAGTTTCGGTTCCTCGGTGGCCTCGTCAACGCACACGGCGACCTCACCCGGAAGATCAACTACAGGAGCAAAGGAGCGTAGGCGTGCCTCAGGCGATATGGCCGGGAGCTCTTTGACAGGCCGAACGCGCCATTCCGACTCAAGATCCGCCTGCTCCAGGCGGAGGAGATGGAGGCACTGCTGTACGGCTGCATGACATGGTCACCACTCAGCGGCCATTATCAGACGCTGCGGTCAATACACCACCGACTGCTCCTCCGAGTCATCGGGTACAAGCGCAAGAAAGACACCTACCGGCAGCTCTCTTACGCCCAGACGCTGAAGAGGGTCGAATGCCAGAGCGTTGAAACCACGATCCGACAACGATGCCTACTGTTCGCGGGAGCATTGGCAAGGCAGCCGGACGGGCGACTCCCGAAACGACTGATGCTCGGCGAGCTGGCGGGGGGGAGATGCGACCAAGGGGGGGGCAGGAACAGAACTGGCCGAAGTGTGTGCTTGACGATCATCTGAAAGCATTCGGGGCCGACCACGGATCTACGAAAACCGATCCATGTTGTCTGTCTCGGAATCCCGGTACCGAAAGACACGGCCCCGAAGTTAAAGTGGACGGAAGCCGCGAAGAAGGTGGAGGGAGGAGTACCCTGGCATGCGGCGGTGCTGCAGGGAGCTGAGAGGTTTATGGCCTCCTGGCACGAGAGGAAGAAGATTCCAGCCGACAACGAGCACTCAAACAAAACCACAAGCAAACAACCAATGGGGCGGGAGGGGGGCAGGAGACGGACGAGGCGGCTAGGGAAGAAAGCAAACGAGAAGAGACGGACCGAGTGGCGCGATACGTGCCGGATTGAATTTCTTTTAGCCAATTCCCCCCCCCCAACGCTGCACCATTGCACCAACCCCCACTAGTCTAGTGATGACGTACCACTACAATGTATCGCTGGTTGGTGGCCATGTTTACGTGTTTACTTGTTCGTTAGTGGTCTCTGCCTTTTTCTGTCTCTTAGTTCTTGTCATTTTCGGCCTGGTCCTTTTTTGTCCTCGCTCCCTTTCATGTTGTATCTCATTGCTTACTGTTTCCTTGAATTTTTGTTCTCTTGTTCTCTGCTTTCTCCTTTTCTCTCTTTTTTCTCTCTTTTTTCTCTCTTTTTCTGTGCCAGATGGCCTTGTCTCTGCTTGCGTTGTGACGTACCATGGTTGAACCAAGGGGTTGTACCTCTTTCTCTCCGGCCCGTGATGCCGACTCCTAGTCTCAGTTGTTACCTCGCATAGAGCGCAGAGGGAGTGGAGGACTCCAGAATATCTGTCGTTGATTTCTGTTGACTTGCGGACCCCTAGGGGCCAGTTTATTTGAGTGTACCTTTTTAGGGTAAATTAACCTGTGACCACGGGAATCGACCGCGTCGAGTGTTGGATCAGTACGGACATACGAAGGTACTGGGTAGAGAAAGATCGGAGCGGTTTTTAATGTGAAGACAACAACAACAACAACTGTAGTACGTAGCCTATGAACCGTGGAGCTACAGTACTGCTGAATATTTTCTTCTGCATCACGGGGTTCAAGATAGAAATGCATCGTCACCTTAGATCCATGACCATTCGGGCTTCCATGTTTTGAACCTCAAGAGATCGGCGTTGGTGATCCCTCGACTCGCGAAGATGTGCGGTAGACATGTGTTGGCATATGCATACATGTACGCATGTCAACCTGGAAGTACAACATGTCAGCGATCCCTCCCCGATTTCACGGTAAGATCTTTGCGTGTAGAATGATGATGGTGATGACCTCTCTCGCTCTCTCTCTCTCTCTCTCTCTCTCTCTCTCTCTCTCTCTCNTCTCTCTCTCTCTCTCTCTCTCTCTCTCTCTCTCTCTCTCTTTCTCTCTCTCTCTCGCTTTCGAAAGTTCAGGCCTTCAAGCAGTGAGTGTATCCTGCATGCTTCGTGGAAAAGTGCGCGGTCAGCCGTTTCAGAAAATGTTTCTCCGCTCCATTCCCCCCTCCCAGACGCCGGCCTACGTGTACCTCCCTCACGAAACCCCTCCGATTGATTGAACGTAATCTGGGAGGTCGGGGGTTCTGTTGAGGTGCCCACTGCTGCTGGTGCTGAGTGCTCATCATCAGGGTGACAGCTTTGAGCTACACTTTCAGGCGCGCACAAGAGGGCAAAGTGGTGAGCACAGAACAAACAGGCTGACATCTCTGCGCAGCAAGAGTGATTGCCCTTGTCCCCGCTGTCGTGGCAACAAGAGGGCTACGATCTGAAAAAGAGCTGCTGCTGCTGCTGCTGCTGCTGCTGCTGCTGCTGCTGCCGCTGTGAGCCTTGTGTGTGCATGTTTTATCGGCCCCTGGGCATTGCCTGCGTGCATTCTACGCTGAACCCTTGTGACGCCAGCGCGCCTCCCAGGTTGGTTTAGAGTCTGGTTCCACCCACAACGCTGCTGTCGTTGACGCCCATATCGCCTTTTTGTTGATGGGGACAAGCCATGTTATGTACAACCCAAAAAAGCAGGGCCAGACAAATCTCTGTGCTGTCTTTTTCTAGTCTCGCTCGCGCTCCAGGACAGACTCGACTCAAGACACCTAAGTATATAATGGTTACTTGGCGTCGCGATGTTTGGTGCCACTCCTCCCGACGAAGCTCTGCCGTCTCTATGGGACTGCAGCTTCGCCTATGGTTGGTGCGATTTTGAGTGCGAAGATGACGAAGATTTGTTCAACACCACACGGAACCCCCCGCTATACGATGCTGTACGATGCGAGTTGACCAAAATGCTAAATTGCGATGCTCCTTTGTCACCTCTTCACGCTGGCTGCAGCTTTCCTTCTATATCGTTCTGTTCTCATATGGATAGCTTTCCCCCACTTGCAAAGGTACGGGGCAGCTGGGAACGCTTATTGCCCTTTTCTCTGTTTCAAAAAACTCTCGACACTAGACGAACAAGAAGCTAGTAGACACTATCGCTCGTCTCCGTCACCTCTTGACTCCTCTGTATATGTATATGTTGAAACGCACGATCCGCAGGTACCCGGCAGGGCACACCATCACGCCTCCTCCCGCTTACTCCACACACGCAGGGAAACGAGGAAGCTTGGGATCTAGAAATGGATTTCGTCGATTCCCACGCGGGAAGCCCGGCGACCAGGCCAATAGCCGTCTGTTCTCGCCCGCGCACAACAACAGCGCGGCGCATCCGTCCCCGCTCCGCGGCGCCGCCGCCGCCGCCGCCTCGTGTTGGCGGCGGCGGCGGCGGTAGGGAAGCGTGTCGGCAAGTATATCTCAAGCAGGCGGGCGGCGTCGGCGGAGCCTTTTCTCTCGCGTGGGCGGGAGGGGTGTCGATTCCCGCCTCGGGACTGTCGATGTCCACCGCGTTGCTGCTGTCACTGCTGGCCGTTTCGGGTGCGGCTGCACCGGCGGCGGCTGCGGCGGCGGTGGCGGCGGCGGCGGCCGCAGCGCCACAATCGCCGCCAACAACGGCACCGTCCCCATTCTCGTCCATGGCCTTTTTCTTGGCTTCGCCGGCGCCGCCAAGGGTCGGTGCAGGTTTTCCGTCTGCCTGGCGACCGGCTTCCGCCCTTGGCCTGCGCAGACGCAGCAACGCTAGCAGCGCGGCACGGTTAACAGCCGGGCGAAGTAGAGCACCGTCGGCCCTTCGCAGTTGTCGGAATAGTATCAGCTGTTCCTGGTCGACGGGGACACCTTCGTGGTTGTGGAAAGGAAGAAGGGCGAGAGGTTGCGGGGGGGGGCGCTGCTTGAGCGGGGGGGGGCTACTACCGCCGCGTTCGCGCCTCCGGAGCAGAGCCGAAATAGGGCTCACGGACGACTGGAGCACCGGCGAGGCGAGCCACCGACCAGAGGACGGAGGCGCCGGCTGGAACTGCGAGTGGGATGACGACATGGACCTCTTGACCAGTTTTGGCTTGGACGAGTACGGCGGCAGCGGAAGCTACGGCGACGGCAGCGGCCCCGCCGACACCGACGCCTCCACCGGAGACGACGCGCCGTCCCTCTCGGAGCGAGACGCGGCGCGCCTGGAGGAGGTCGGCATCATGGTCGAGGAGCTGGAAGGAAACCGGGGGGGGAGCACGGCGGCGGCGACAGGGGGGGGGGCAACCGCCGCAGTTGTTGGGACGGCGGGGGGCGCCGCCGCCGGCGAGCCGTCGCCGTCGCCGGCGGCGGCGGCGGCGGCTAGAGACGACGCAGATATCAAGGAGCTGACGCGCACGGCCAGGAAGGGGGACCTCACCGGGGGCGCGATGGACAGCGCACGCTTGCGCATGACCTGCGGGGACCCCGTTTTCTTCGCGCACCTCGCCGAGCTGATGCAGGGGGTCCACCGGCAAGCCGGGGGGAGGAAGTTCCTGAACCACGAGGAAGAGATGGAGCTCGGGGAAACGGTGCAGCGGTATCGGGCGCTAATCGAGGTGAGGTGGGAGGGGCACCCGTAGCTATGAATGTCGTAGTCATTACAGAGGGGGCAGGGGTACCCATAGCTGTGCATGCCGTAGGTCGTTTCGCAATATACCTCGCATCCCTACAGAGCCGGGACAGAGCATGCCGGGTCCTTACCGCACCAGGCTCTCACGGCACCAAGCGCGAAGCGTCGGGGGGGGGAGAATCCTTCGGGGGCATTTTGTCCGAAGCGGATTTTTGCAGGGAACAAGGGACAAGTCATGTTTATGGAAGATTTCGGTTGGGGGAGATGGAAGCCTCGTCGACGGGGACGTTGATTGGTCGTTGGTTTGTCTGTTGGTTGTGCATAAGAGTACCGATCCAGGTGGCAGTGGTCTTGTCAACAGGAAGCGATAACGCGGTTTTGTTGTATTTCAACGGAGACGCGACGGCAGCAGTGGATCATATCCCGGCCGGTATTTGACATCTAATCGACAACACCGGTTGGTGTTGTTGTCACTACCGATGCCGGTACCTTTGATGATTCTGCTGTTGCGGTTGTCAGAAGGGAGATGAGGCCCACGCAGAGCAGCAGCTGCCATCGGTAACGTTTCCCACGCGGCGCGAAGAGCCCAGTCAAACCTCAACGAAACAGGAAGAAAAATATTATTGTAGTTGCAAATCTGTTCCCAAAGGGAGACAACGAGAGAATTCAACGGCAAACGGGAGCACGGGTGTTGGTGTCCTCGAGAGAACACCTCACGGAGAGAACACGGTCGTGGGCGAAAAGCCAGACACACGTGGTACAAGTCTTATGACGACCTGCTTTGTCGGGGCCGTGCCGAAACACACATGGTAGACCACGGCAGTCAGTCTTACGACGACCTGTTGCGTGGTCGTGCCCTCGCCTCCTCTCCCAGGCACAGGAGAAGGCGGAGAAGGACAGCGGCCGCAGGCCGCGCCTCCGGGCCGTAGCGCGCTCCGTGGGACTGTCAGAAGAGGCGTTCGCCTCCGTCATGCAGGCCGGCATGGAGGCGAGGCAGAAGCTGGTGGTCTGCAACCTGGCCCTGGTGGTGTCGTTGGCGAACAAGTACAAGCGCAGCCACTTCGACTGTGGCTGTCTGCAGGTACATTTTTTTTTTCTTTCTTTTGTTGGGATGGAGGAGCTTTTCCCGAAGATTCTTTTACAAGCTGCCGATCGGACTGAGTTATGCTTCCTTTTCAGCATGGCTAAACGACTGTTGGCATTGGCATGGTCAAATGACCCTTGGCATTGTGCTTGCTTGGCGCGCCCTCCGCCTGACTAGGCGGTATCCATATTGGAGACCATTGCTTCCTTTTTTCCGCATGGGACTGGTTCTGCAGTGCTTGGTTGCGTTTTGTAATGCGTGCTCCTTTCGTGCCCTGCCCTGTCTTCTTCAGTGGCCATGCTTCTCCTGCCGGTGTTACTTGGTCGTAGTTGTTCGCGCTGGATGCTGGTTGAGCGTCTGCATCCCTGTTTTCGTCATCGATGAAGGCGTTGTTGCTGTTTTTCCCTGTTTTTGGTTCGATGTCCCTGGATGACGGTTCCCTTCCCCACATGTGCCCCACTCCATCTCTCATCGCCACTGGCGATCCTCGGCCCTCAACCGAACGGGCAAAATCCACTTGCCCGCTGCCGCGGCAAGTCGCCTCTGTTTGAGATGCTGAAGGCGTTACATCAGTACTGTCGTGGTTCCGTCATGCCGCGGTGTAGTGACAGGCAAGAGTCAGCGCGCAATATGGAGACACCGCACTATTGAGTGTTGGGGAGTATGTGGCATGTAATAGGTAGGTAAATCCCGTGACAGGGCGATTCTTTCCGCGGTGTATCGGGACCGGCACAAGTCGGGACCGCGGTATATCCAGACCACTTTGTACCCTCGTTGTTGCTGGGGGGTTTTCGAACCCCTCCGAAGCGGCGCAACCGGTCATGTGTTACTCTACTTGCTGTGCCGCTTACATTGAAGGTCGAATGGGCTTGTTCGAAAAGTAGCACGCACGCATGCCGTTCTTCTCGAGAGAGCAAGAAGCGCTGATTTCCCGCACGCCTGCTGCCTGTGTTTATGTATCGACATCAATTTTTTTTTTTCAACTATTGTTGACAATCAATCTTGTGCTCACACGATCTGTGTGTAGCGCCCTCCTCTTCTCTCGACCGGCCGTAGTCTGGTGAAGCAGGCGGAGGCATCATTATCAATATTATGTCTGTTTTTATTTTTCACCCCACCGCTTGTCCTTCTCCTGTGCTTGCTTTAACTCTCTCTTCATGAGAACGGTCTAGCCACTATTAAACGCCCTCGTATGTTTGCCTTCCCTCCATCCCGTCTCATCATCCCACCATGCTTCTGCCTTCTCCTTCCGTGTTTGTACATATTTGTGTTTGTAGACCCTGATTCAGGAGGGTACCATCGGTCTCATACGTGCCGCGGAGAGATACGACCCCACCAAAGGCTTCCGCTTCACGACCTACGCCATCTGGTGGATCGAGGCGAGGCTTCGCGTGTCGGTCCAGACGGTGCGTTTCTTGTCGTTGTTGTTATTTTTGTTGTTGTTGCGGCTGCTGTTGGCGTGTGATTTGTTGCCTTTGGTTTGTCACAGCGCGTGCTGCCGTTCAGACGCTGCGTTCGTTGGTGGTGCCGTACCCTCGGACAGGACATGAAGCTTGGTTGTAGTAGGGGCTGCGGGCAAGGGTTAGGGTCCGGATCACGGACTCCCCCTCCCTATTTCACGTGGAACGCTTAATGTCCGCGAGAATGCGGTCCTGGCTTAATGTCGGCGTAGGTGTTGGCGTTGATTTTGTTGGTTTCGTCGCGGCGGTGTTGTCAAAGTCGCTGTTGTCGGTCTAGACGGGCCGTTTGTTGGTCGGTTGTTGTTGTTGTTGCGGCTGTTGCTGCTGGCGTAGGTGTTGCTGTCAAGTTGTTGTCGTAGTCTTTGTTGCCGTCGGTAGTAGCGTTGCCTCCGCCTCTGCCTCTGTGTTGATTGGTCACCTGGTTACATGTAAAGACAACATACACGTGTGCATAAGTCATAAGTACGTGTTCACACCGATACGTGCGTGGGATATCCTACCGAGTCCAACCCATGGCGGCTCGGCCGTGCTTGTCGTCCAACAAACCCAAAGCATAGGTAACTAAAAAACGAACACATGATGCAGTTGTTGATAGGATTCTCCCCCCACAGGTGAACCCAGCCCCTCCCCTCCCCTCCCCCCCCTCGTGGTCCAACTCCGCAGGAAGAGCGTTTTATCCACGTGCCTATGTGGGTAAAAAACCAGTACAACACCGTGCACAGATCGGTCCCGAAGCTGAGGAAATCGCTGGGGAGAGAGCCTACGTCGGAGGAGCTGGCGGCACAGGTGGAAATCGACACAAACTCAAAGGTGCGTTTTGTGGAGAGAAGGCATGAGGGGCAGAGAGCGGCCGTCGGGAGATACAGAGCGAGCAATTTACAGCGGTATTTGTATCTCGGGAGTTCGCATTGAAATAGCAGGATTTCAATGGCGCTAGAGCTTAGTTGACGAAAGATGCCGCCAAAGAGAGGATCGCACGCACACCAAACGCCATCTGAAAACCTTCATGAGCCCAGTTAGGTAGTTCGGTATCGGCCATGGCGTGGCCCGCCCCCTCCTGTCCTTTGTAGAGCGAGATGGCGGGAACAGAGAGACACAGAGAATAAGAGTTTATCATGTCCCCAAGAGGGCAAGGGCATGGTTACGAGACAAGACGTGCTGCGGGCAAAGGAAATACGCTCATAATACCACAAGAGAATTCTCATGTTGATGGTGGTGGTAAAGAGTAAAAAGAGACACAGGCCAACGCGGCAGAAGCGGGTTCCACTTTGAACCCCATTCCAGAGCTTAATCGCCATTGGGGATAAGGTGCTGACAACCCAACAAGCAAGGATCCCTTCGTGGAGGTCTGTGTGTCGTCGCAGTTCATTCTCCAATTGCTTGTTGAACTGTTCGGTGATCGGGCGCAGATGAATGGATCTACTTTAAAATATGTGTATATTTTCTTAAGCTTCACGCAACGCAAAGCGTGCACATTCGTCCCGCGTGGCCTGCCGGGGGGTGATACTGTACGTCCTTCCCACGCCAAGTATGACGAAGTGCGAGTAATTCGAGAAAAACACCCACCCTTAAGTGTTTTGTTCTGTTTGATATCACCGCCCTTCTGTTCGTATGGATTCACCCCCCACCTTTCTCTTTTCGTTCTGGTAGAAAACAATTTTTGTTAGATTTCACCGTCATTCCAGTCGTTTGAGGACACCCCCGCCTTCTGTTTCGTGTCGTGCTGGTAGGTATCACGGCCTTCCCCCCGCCGTGTGACAACTCCCCGCCTTAAGTCTTGGATGTCACCCTCTTCACCGGTCTGTTTGATCCGATCCAACCGCGCAGGTGGTGGTGACTCCGAAGCGCGTGAAGGAGTTGGAGACGTGGGTGTCGTTCCACCGCAAGCACGAGTCCCTCGACGTACCCCTGGAGGCTTCGACACCTCTGCCGGCAGACTGCTCCACGATAGAAGATGTGCGTGTCTTGCTTGGCCGTGGTTATTTGTTTTTTTCTGGCGTGTAACACGAGGAATGATGTCGACTGCTGTGAATACAGATAACCGTCTCGTTTTCGTTTCTTGTAGTGTTTCTGCTGCTGCTTGAAACAACGAAGTCATCTCTATCCACACATGGGAGTTTGGTTTTTGTTGCTGGTAGTGTGTCTGCTGTTGTCGCTGCTGCTGCGGTGGCGGCATTGCAACAGGTGCTGCAGCACGAACGTACACCCGCGCGCATGTCGTACGGGATTTCTCGCCTCACACCGCACACCGATAAACGCGTGCTTGAGCTTTGTCTTGCCCGGATTGGTCTACCTCCATTCACACTTTCGTGGGTTTCGTTGCGTGCGCTGACGGCCACTGCTGCGTATGGGATTTCTCGGCTTGCCGCAGGGCCCCGTGCGTTGCTGTGCCTCACGGTATCCCCCGCCCTCCCATCGCTGCCGCCTTCCTTTTTGTTCCGTGCGCGCTCGTCGTTGGGGGGGGGG